CGAGACAAGAAGAAGAATTACAAGAGCTCAGGGACAGTAGTACTGGCGCAGTGCACGGTAAACCCCAGTACCTGCCTCAGATCCCGCCCCCTCTGCTGCCCCTACCACATTCTCAGATTCAACCCTTTGTTTGTTTCAAAGGTCAGCTTCTCTGTTCCTGGGAATTATTGCCCCACCCCAGTTACAATGTCAAAAACTCCAGCTCCCCTACTTTCCCCAAAGAAGCCCCTACCCAAGCTGCCTCCCAAGAGGACTGTCCCATCTTCCATTACCTCTTTCCTCTCAACAGGTGGAGAAGGTGCACACCTTCCTGGATTACATCATGGGTGGCTGCCAGATCAGCTTCACGGTAAAGGCACAAGGGGTGGGGACAAAAGAGGAAGGAGCCAAATGCATATTGAACTAAAGAAGCCCAGAGTCTTACTGCCCCTTAGGACATGGTCAGCCAGACCCCAACCCCCTCTGTGAGGAAGCTAACAGTGAGCTCCCCCAGATGCATCTCAGTCCTCCCTACAAGATTCTAGCTCTGGGATAGCCTCTCTGTACACTCCCATGGCAGTAGTGGGATATTTCCTCGCCCTCACCCTTGTCCCCACCAGGTGGCCATCGACTTCACCGCCTCCAATGGGGACCCAAGGAGCAGCCAGTCCCTGCACTGCCTCAGCCCCCGGCAGCCAAATCACTACCTGCAGGCCCTGCGAGCAGTGGGAGGCATCTGCCAGGACTATGACAGGTAGGAGATGGTGGGAGGGTGAGGAAGAGAGTCCCCGCCTATCCCGTGAGCCCCATAGTCTGTTCTTCTTTCCAGTGATAAGCGGTTCCCAGCTTTTGGCTTTGGGGCTCGAATTCCTCCCAACTTTGAGGTAGGCTGGGTGCAAGAGGAAGGAGGAGATGGTGGCCCACAGGCAGAAGGAAAGTCATGCCCTCACTGCTCTCAACTTCCCTCACAGGTGTCACACGACTTTGCTATCAACTTTGACCCAGAAAACCCTGAGTGTGAAGGTGAGCTGGAGAGATGGCCAGCGTGCCTCCACTGTTTGTTTCCCAGACCTGGACATCCCATCCTAGAGCACAGACTCTGTCCCGAGTGTCTAGCTCCCTGTCACTCCCACCTATGGGTCTGGTCAGACTTCCAGTGCCATGACCTGCCCACCCAATTGTCACAGCCCCAGGATCATCCAATCCTCCTGCATACTGAAGAAGAGGGTATCAGGGACTGCCAGGCTCTGACAGCTGGATCCCTTTTGTCTGCCCACAGAGATCTCAGGGGTCATCACCTCCTACCGCCGTTGCTTGCCCCAGATCCAGCTCTATGGCCCCACCAATGTGGCCCCCATTATCAACCGTGTGGCTGGGCCCGCACAGCGAGAGCAGAGCACTGGTCAAGCCACGGTGAGGACGTAAAACATACAACCAAGCACCTCGCTGTGTGTCCTGGGGCTTGGGCCCAGGCTGGGGAAGCGTTACACACCCTGGCACACAGTGGCAAGCCTTTTCTCCTTCTGCCTGCCCTCAGAAGTACTCCGTGCTGCTGGTGCTCACTGATGGCGTGGTGAGCGACATGGCAGAGACCCGCGCCGCGATAGTGCGTGCCTCCCGCCTGCCCATGTCCATCATCATTGTAGGCGTGGGCAATGCTGATTTCTCTGACATGCGGCTACTGGATGGCGATGATGGTCCCTTGCGCTGTCCCCAAGGAGTGCCCGCGGCCCGCGACATTGTCCAATTTGTGCCCTTCCGGGACTTCAAGGATGTAAGTGTTTGGTGCCCTTTCCTGAAGGTCTTCTCTGTGCCTCATCTTCCCAGCCTGATGTGTATCTCTCACTGGCTTGGCGTCCTTCAAACTACACTGAAGCCCAGCTGACAACCCAGAAGGCCCGCCAGCCCTTCTCCTGCTCTCCAGTCCCTAATCTCATCTCTCCACAACCTACAGGCCGCTCCATCTGCGCTAGCTAAGTGCGTCCTGGCTGAGGTGCCCCGGCAGGTGGTGGAGTACTATGCCAGCCAGGGCATCAGCCCTGGGGCTCCCAGGCCCTGCACGCCAGCCACAACTCCCAGTCCTAGCCCGTGACTGCTTTGCACTGGTCGAAGGACACACCCTCAGCCTCTCAGTGAGTGTAAGGGGCTTTAAAGGTGTGGACATGGGGGGGTGGGCAAAGTGCGACTTCTGAGAAGCCTAGCTGGGCTGTGTGTAGTGTAGACAAGGGTGTTCATGACTATCGCACCTCTTCCAGGTGCCTGTCCTAACCTTTGTGACTCAAGTGACCAGTGCCTCTGCCTCCTGCCGCTGTGCCCCCTGAGTCCTGGAAGTGAAACGAGGGCCTTGCCTCCATCTCCTCAAATCCAATATCCCTCAACTTTGTGGCCCCTTAGCGACTTCCTTCAGTGATCTGACTTTCTGGTCATTAATAAAGGGAACCACTCCTAGCACTTCAGCCTCTACTCATCACAGTTTGGGTGCTCATGGGCAGTTTGTAGCACCCACTGGCACCAAAATAAATGAGGCCTGTACCTTTCAAAATCTTATTCCAATGACATGCCAGTAGAGTCTAAAGATCCCCCACTCTTACCTCCCAAACCTAAGGGGGGCACAGGCACCATGGGGGCTAATAACAGGAGATAGGAGAGTAATGAGGAGTTGTCACGAGGGCAGGCTGATGTTTTCTTACAGCTGTCTCCAGAGAAGCCCCACTGAGTTCCCCAGGGGTTGAACCCCTGCCTCCACACAGCTGTGGGGCAGGCTGCGAAGGGGTGTTGGGAAGGAGTTTGAGGGAGGGGAGCAGCAGGTCTGCTAATGACTTAGGAACATAGAGGGACATTTAGGTCTGCTCAGCCTGACCTTCCTGGATGTGTCAATGTGTACGTGTTTGTGCACCATACATCCCGACCCTCTGTGAGTATGGCCTTAGGGGCTGGGGAAATAGCTCAGTAGAATAAGCATTTGTCTGGCAAGTGCAAGGTCCTGAGTTCAATCCCTGGTTCCGCAAAAAAAAAAAAAAAAATAGTGTGTGAGTATGGCCTCAGTGGTTCAGGAAATCTAGCTGTGCACTCCGAGCTGTGCATTCTGATAACCACAAAAATTAATCTTCAGCATATGTCAAACTTTGCTTCTTTAAATGCATGTACCCCCACCAGATAATTAGCATTTACCTTCTTTATTGTGCTGATCAACCAAATCTTGCTTTTTAACTCACCCATGGTCAGGGAACTCATAGAATTTGATCTCAAGCTCATGTGACCAAAGTACCCACACTCTTCATAGCTACAGTGTGCAACCTTTGTTTGAAGTTTACCCAGGTGACTCAAATATATTATTTTGAAAACCAGTTGCATGTATATGTGGTCTAGTTCTATGCAGAGGGGTCTGCGGATAGGTGTCTCAGCCCTTGCGTGCTGCACAGGTAAGAAAAGTTTACAAGAGAAGCCATGGGTCTGGACTGCAGCTCCAGAGAGTGGGCAAAAGAAAGACAGAGCAAGGAAAGAAGAGCTGAAATCCTGGAGGGACCCTTTCTGTCACAATCCTTCCCTTCAAGAGGACTCCTGTTGCAGGCTCCTGAGTGGAGGAGAGATGAGCTGGACTAAAGGAGGGGGAGGAGAGAACAAGAACTGTGATGGGAAGAGACAGCTGGGAAGGGGGCGGATAGAAGGGGCAGAAAGGAAGAGAGGCATATGTGAGCCACTTCCCCCACGCCCCACCACTTCTCTCATTTATTACATCCCTTAGAGTATGGACAACAATGGCTGGTGAGGTACGCCTCTGCTCTGCCCAGAGGCCCCACCTGCCCTCCCCTTGTGCTGCTGAACCTGCAGCTGGGTTACCATGGCAACTGTGAGACCTTGAGGATAGCCACAGGCAGGCCTTGCTGCTGCTTGTGGATTCTGTGGTAGTGATGGGGGGAGGAAGAGGCTCCATCTGGACCAATCCCCAGTCCCCCCTGCCCCTTCTCATTGGCTATCCAGAATGGAGGCTGTACTACTCAGTTCCAAGTGGCTACCCTCTCCCTTACACACAGACATACAAAACAGCAGTCTGAAGCAGGAATAGAAAAAGAACTTTTTAAATTGCAAGAACATGCAGCCAATGGCTTTACAGGTCTGCCTAAACTTCAAATTTAATTCACAAAAACTGCACTCTCAGTCCCTGACATCCTCAGAAGTCTCACCTCAGCTGTCAGAGAAGTAGGAGGTAGCAAGGTACCCTCTGAAGCCTGAGGCAGCCTGGAGGGAGCAGCAGAGACCACTGAGTGTGATTCCAGAGGAATCATGCTTCTCCACCCAGGCTGCACATCCACTGATGAGGTTGTGGCCAAGAAACTGGAGCCGGACAGGATGTCCCTTTGATGAGGTTTGTCTTGGAAGCTTCTTGGGGAGATCATTGGAACTCACTCACTGGTGAGATGCCAGAACTGAAAAGGTGTCAGAAGTCATCCAACCCAAATGAGAATTAGATGAAGTAACTGAGGCCAGGGAGCAATTGATTTGTTCAAGGTGACAGTGGGATCCTTGTGGCAGACCCGGGACTAATGCCAAGGCCTCTCTCCTAGCTGACACCAACCTATACCTGGGGCTCACTCTTCAAGCCTATGCTGCTCCTGGCCCTGAATAGCAGCGGTTTTAGTAGGAAAATGCATCTTGGGTAGCATTCCTAGTTTATCTGGCTAAGGTTACAAACCTTCCAGTGAAAATACAGCTTCATTGCTAATTACAGCCTTAATGCACTACAAGTTGAAAACCTTTAATTAAGAACTAAACTGAGGGAAGAGCCGCACCACTCCCTTCCCTCCCATTCACTCTCCCACGTGCGGTCCACCTCTCTACCCTCAGTGCCCACAGAGCCCTCGCCCGGGAAAGTTCCATGGCTGGTTATCTGTGCGAAGCCCACAAGAGGAAATGGGATCCCTCTTGCAGAAAATGGCCAGCATCTGGAGGGTTCAAGAAGTTTGGGAAATTTGTGTGGTCATATTGGAGAGTGGATGGGACCAGAACGATAGTGCAGCCGGCTTAAGCTTAGAGGAAGAGGTGGGTGTGATCCCCGGACCCGGGGCCGCTCGAGGTCAGCCGATCACAGCGAGCCTTGTAGAGGTCGCGCTCGCGAGCCAGGCGAGCTACCTCCGCCCGCAGCGCGTCCAACTGGGCGGCCAGGCGGGCGCGCTCGGCCTCCAGCCCGCGCCGCTGCTGCAGCCGCTTGGAGCGGCAGGCCTGCGCATAACCGCGGTTCTTCAGCGTGCGGCGTCTCTGCTTCAGCCGCAGCGCCTCGTCTCTCCCGCAGCCCCGCAGCTGCCGGTTGAGCTCTCGCACAGACATCGATACCAGCGCCGCGTCTGAAAACCGATCGGCCAGCTGCAAAGGAGCAGTACAGGCACTGGGTCAGCAACAAGCACCTAGGTCCGAATGCCAGGCTAGGCCCGCCCTTGAGAAGGCCCCGCCCAGACCCGACCTGGCCCCCACGTTTACCTGTACGCCCATTGTTCTAACTCAACCTGTCTCCCTTGCGACCCCACCCCAGGCCTCGCAGCTGGGTTGGGCCCCGTAGGTACGCCCATCGTCGCAAGCCCGCCTCCTACTGGCGGGCGAGCCAATCGCGCATCCGGGCTCTGTGCCCGCCCGGCGCCCCAGCAGCCCGCTCCAGGTCCGGGAACCCGCGCCCGCACGGACCCCGCCCCCAGCGCCCCCGTCGGTCGCGTCCCAGTGGCCGGAAACCTGTGACCCTCAGAGGATTTGGATTACGTTCTAATGCCCTCAACACCCCAGTCTGTGTCTATAATTAATAGGATGAGTCCCAATCCTTCCTGAGAAGGTTGGGCACTTGGAAAAGGCCAACCTCAAACACAGCCTCCACCCGGCTCCATTCCACACACCTGTACCTATTTACGACCCAGTAATCGCTCTATAACTCTCAAACCTTTCCTTTTGGGTCCTTCCCTAATCTTATTTTCTTTCTCTTCTTTATGATTCAGGCCATGCACCTCCGTTTTGGAGCAGAAAACATGTGGTTACCTCTGACTTCTTTCAAAGGCCCTTCTCAACTCCTATCCTCTGCCAAGGTGGCAGTCCTCACAAGGAGCTCTCCTTCCTCTTCCTTTCCAGCCTACCTCCCCCAGACCAGCTTCTCATCACTCACCTGGACATGCTGGGTGCCTGTCTCCTCTGGATTGCCTGGGTAGTAGCTGTGGGTCCCCTCAACAGGGATGGAGCCCTGACCTTGTAGCAGCTCCACGGCCTCATCGGGACTCAGCCCCACCGACTCCCCAGCCCCTAGCTGCTGCTGCAGGGTGGCCAACCAGTACAGCTCCTCCAGGCCTGGCCGTGCGCCCTCAGTGGTCCCCACCACACCTGGCTCACTGAAGGTGGGTGACGGAGGCACTGAGCTGTAAGGTGTGGAGCCCAGTGAGGCTGTGGGGGGAGCAGATCGCCCCTCAGAGGGCTCTCGCTTTACCTCAAACTTCATCAAGTCAAAGTCATTAACATATTCCATGGCCAGAGGGCTGGGGGGCAGTGCCATTCTGGGGCTGAGATGGGAGAAGTGTACCTGCAAGAAAGAGAAGTCTGGAGCAACAGAGGTGGCATGTTCTCCCTTCACCAAAGACCTAGCCCAAAGCCCAGGTGTCTTGGATGCAGAGTGGCCTTGTACCCTGCTCCCTACATTGTCACCTCCAAGTGGCTTCCTGATGACAAGAGACAAAAAACTAAAGATTTAAAGGAGCAAGAGAGTAGCACCTCTTGCCCCATTGATGCCTCTGGGACCTATGAAAAACAAGAGCAATGTGGCTGTGCTCCCAAAACCGATTCCTGGGACATGCTGAGAGACTCTGTCATCTCAAGGGATTCTGATCCACTTCCAAGCAATTAAAAAATTGTGCTTAATTAATGGTGACTGGATGTGTGTGTATATTTTAGGATGGTGGGAAAGCATGTATTGCTATGGATGTAAGATATAATGGCACGGTGCTGTGGTATCTGTCTCAACACATTCACGACAGTGCTTTAAACATAAAAGACTTTCAGTGCATTTTGGTTCTATGGATTAATCAAACAGCAAGTCCCTTTTATAGGGACAAGACATTTTTCAGGGAAAAACAAAAGTCCTGGAGCCACTTCTAGAAAGATGAGGACTAGTAGCTACCATCTCTCCTCAAGACCAATTTCTACAAGGAGAGTGCACCAAGATTAATTGTCCCCTTTTAGTTTAGAACATGCTGTATTATGTAAACTTAAGCAGACCACTTTCATCTTTCGACCTCTCCTGTTTAGCAAGAAGAGCCTGAGATGTGGCTGAAAAGAGGACTACCTAGGCTAGAAGCACCAAGAGGAAGCCAAAGGCTAAGCCCTGGGGAAAAGCACACCTTGCTCTGACCATTCTAGTGTTGGAATTGGAATGTGGGTTGGATAGAGCTGGGACTTCCAGGCTAGAAAAAAAAGATTTTTGTGGTCATCTAAAAAAAGAATATGGGGCCAGGGAGATGGCTCAGTAGAATAAGCTCTTCCCTGGCAAGCGCAAGGGCCTGAGTTCAATCCCAGGTTCCACAAAAAAAAAAAAAAATAATAATAATAATAATAATAATTAAAAAAAATAAATAAAAAGAGAACATGTATTCCACAGTTGGTAACCAAGAGGAAAGTATTCCTTGGTGTCATAAGTTTGGCATACTACATGTAGAAGTTGAGCAAAAGGTTGGCAGAAGTATTTCTTAGATTAGTATGTTTTTGTGCCTTTCAAATATGCAAGAGGTAAGGAGAAGAAAGAGCTTTTCCTAACATCTCAGCATAGACCTCTTGATTACTTTTTGGAAGCAGTGTTCTACAGAATACTGTTTGGAAAATGTTACAGTCTGCCTCACTAAACATGTACTCATTCCCAGGGCTTAGCCTTTGACTCCCTCTTGTTGCCCCTAGCCCAGTAGCCCTCTTTTCAGCCACCTCTCAGATCCACCCCCTCCAGCTTCCCAGAAAATTAAGAGGAAGGACAGCTCCTCTCTCTTCCTGGTGTCAGCTCCCTCCTCAAGGAGCTCCTCAACCTTAAGAGGACAGAGGGGTTGGAAACAAAAACAGCTAAAGGAACCATTCCTCAGCAGGAAGGAGGTGGTGAGGCAATGACAGAGGTAGCCAGAAAAAACTGGATGTGCAAAGGCAAGGTAAGTGGATAAGGTTATCTTTCTGATGTAAGAGCCAGAATGAGAATGGGGCAGAGTGCAGAAGTGTGAGGATGCTAGAAAACAAACAGCAGAGGGCAGACAGCAGGTGTTGGAAGAGGAGCTAGAGGTGAGAAGCCTGGCAACCACACATACTCACTTTAGGGACAGCAGAGATGATGTGGTCAGTGGCAGAGCCAGACAGGCACAGCTTCTCCAGACTCTGGCGGCCCCATTGAACAGGCAGGACCTGGTATGTCTATGTTCATAACCACAGGGCTATGGGCACAGAGCCCAAAGGGCACTCTTAAAGTGCCAGCTCTCTAAGCTCATCTGTGCTTCTCCAGCCTCAACCAATGAGATCAGGGGATCATTTGCATATCTCATTGGCTAGGGGGACTGGGTGGGATAGAGAGAAAGGGGAAGACAACTACATCCTGAAAGGAGGAAAGGGAGCATCTCCCCAACAAAGCTCCTCACTGATGGTCCAACTCCTATGATTTTGGTTCTCCAATAACAACCACATTGATTCCAACCACCACTCATCCCTGTGAACACAGCCCTCAGTTCTCAAATGCTCAAAACCCTGGGACTGGGAATTAGAACCAGACAAGCTCTCAGCGGCCTACCCCACCAGGCTCTGCGCCTCCCTTCAATGTCTGTGAGAAATACAAGTTTTTCCTAACCCACTGTCACTAGGCCTGTTGAATTCATTCCCAATTTTCAAGTAACTTTGCTCATCATGTTTTTGCCTACTACCCATCTTCACCCTGATTGACCTTACTCCCCTCACAACCATTACATCAGAAAGATAAGCAACTTTCCTCATAAGGAATCACCAAGACTTGACTATCCAATCCTCAGTCTCTTCCACTTCTAAAACCCAACCCCAGAAAAGCATCCCAGCTTGGGAGAACTGGGAGAAGAAAGAACAGGAATACTCTCCTTTCTTCTGGGCCACGAAAGGACACTGAAACCTAATCAGCAGGAGTCTGTCAGATACACTTTTGTGGCTGTCCTCACAAGCCCTCTGTTTCTTCTCACCTTTTCCCTGTGTGTGTCTCTGCCCCTTTCCTCCTCTCACCCACTGTAGTTCCCAGATGGCTGGGGAGTGACCTATATTTCCAGCCTAATCCCCTAACACCTCTTAGAGCTATCATCCCCCAGCAGGAGTTGGAACAGGGATACTAGGAATTAGCCGAGGAGACGTTTAAACCTGTCCGAAGCTGTTTAAATGAGGTCTGTACTAGAATAGAACTCCAGGAGTTAAAGGCTCCTCCCTACCTTCTGAGGACACACAGATACTCTCATTGGGTGTACAGGTCCCCTTTCCCAACTTAGACAGACTGAGTTTCTTTCAGCCCCAAGTACCCTCAGTTATAAAACTTAACTTGTTGTAAGCCATAGATGTCAGGGAAAAGCTGGAAGATGCAGATTGTTTAAGCAGTGGATCTCATGATGTCCTCAGACCAACAGCATTAGCATTTCCTACTAACTTTGAAATGGAAATTCTCTGGCTTTACCTCAGACCTACTGAGTCAGAAATTCTAGAGGTGGTATACAGAAAGCTGCATTTTAACAGGCTCTCCCAGAAATTCTGACAAACGCTAAAATTTGAGAACTACTGGCCCACAAATGCCTGCACTCAACCCAACTTCCTTTGGTGTATGTATACATGTGTGTGACTGATTGTGTGTGTGTGTGTGTGTGTGTGGTGTATGTGTATTGTGTGTGTAGTCTCTCCTACCGTTCTGCATTAGTCTCCTTTCCATTACTGTAACAAATACCTGAGGTAATAAACTCAGAAAATGTTTAGTTTAGCTCCTAGTTCTGTCCTTGTCATGTGGGGTCTGTGGTGAGACAGCACATCGTAGCAGGGGCATGTGATGGAGAAAGCTGTTCACCTCACTGCTGAGTCAAAGAAGAAGAGGTAGGGGCTGACATCCTAAAAGCCCCTTCATGGGCATGTTCCCAGTGACTACAAGACCTCCCAACTCCTAAAGTTTCTACCACTTCTTAACAGAGCAGAGCTGGGCACTAAGTCTTTAGCACAAAAATATTTGAGGGATATTAAAGATCCCAGCACACACCTCTACATACATGTTAGAAGATCTAGACCAGAGGACATCCCTCCCTTTCCACACCTGCACTTGCATTTTATGGAGCAGAGTCCACCTTCATTATTCAAGTAGAAAGCCATCTCTGTGTGATAGCCTGGATCTATCCAGGGCTGTTTTCTCATAAAAGGCAAAAAATTCACGGCCTGGGAACCAGCCACAAAATGAGAATGGGAATCACGGAGACAAGGACCCCATACACATATCAATGAGTAACAGCTCTAAGGTGAACACCCAAGAAAGCATCCTTAAAACTCCCCTGGAGGAATAGAAGATGTAGAAGCAGCCTTTTTCAGGCCTGCTCTGGCTGGGCCAGACACTTGCCCTCACCCAGCAGCTGTCAGATCTACCCTGAGCCTCTTGTTTACTGGAGGGCTCAAGGAGAGGTGGGAGGGCTAAGCTGCTAAGGGGCTAAAAGAGTCAGACTAAACAAGCTCAGGAGAGCTGAGCTGTTTAGAATTCAGACCAGACACTGCTAACCAAGGAAAGGCACTGGGGCAATGAGGGCTGGACTCAGACTAGAGAGGAGAGGACCAAGGGCACAAGAGAAGAGAGTGTGCCATCCCTAGTGTTGGGGTGCGGCGAGGTTGCCTGGAGGCTGAAAGAGATACTGACACTAAAAGGCTGGAGGAAATCTGAGAACAGAGAAGCAGGGATGAAGAAGATGAAGCCAGAGAGAGCACCAAGAATGATGCAGGACAGAGGGGGTGGAGATCAGCCAAGGAGGGGACATGTAGAGTTCTGAGATAGATGGTAGAACAAGACAGGCACTGCAAAAAGACACACACCTAAAGAAACAGAAGGATGAAGGCAATCAGAAACATGAGCAAAGGCTGAAAGAGAGAAAGGCTTCTGGTCTAGGGCCAAGAAGGTTGTGAAGGCCTACTCGAAAGGTGGATAGAAACAAGGGCCTACAGGAACAAAAGTGATAGAAGGGGAACAGACAGATTGTCAGGCTGGCCTCAAACTCCTGGGCTCAATCAATCATCCCATCTCAGCTTTCTAAGGAGCTGGAACTATGGGCACAAACAAATCCTTTTAACTGAGATGAGTGCTATGAAAGAGAAGGATAGGGTGTTATGAGATTTTATTTCATGAAGACTTAATCTTCTAATGCAAGGAGTTGAGGTACAGAGTGTAACAGTGTAATGACAGATTGGCAAAGGAAGTCATGATAAACTGAGAAGGTTGGATGAATAAAAAGTGATCGTGTACAAGGCAGGGATTCCAGGAACACTATACTGTACTTCCCTGAAAATAAGACCTAACTGGAAAATAAGCCTTAGCATGATTTTTCAGGATGCTTGTAACATAAGCCCTACCACTAAAGCCCCAGCTAAGACTTTCAGTCAGATGGATGCACTTAGTGTGTCCACTATGATATACAATGGACACATTAAATTATAACATAATAATATTAATATATAATTAAGTATAAATAATATTATTCCAATTATTGCAATACTCTGTTTAAAGTAATTTTTAAAAGGTAATAAAAGAAAACAAGAGACAAGGAAAAAATGTCATAGGATTGTCCTGCTACAATGTTGTATATGGTTTGATTTCTAAATTTCTGTGTAAAAATGTGTAATTTTTTTCACATTCTATAGGGATTTAAAGTTTAGAATATCCATGGTTGCTGGAAAATAACAGTTCCACATTATGTCTAAGGAGATTGATATTTAGACAAATGTGATATTAAGCTCAACTGCCTCTGTACAGGGTAATAATATTATTAAGCTTGTCTTCTGGATGTTTAACAACTAAAGTTTGCAGACCAAAATTTAGAGAAATAGAGAGGCTACAATGATAGCCAATATTTTGGCCCTAGCACTTCAAGGTCAATGAGGACTCAGGACATAAGAGAACCTGTGCTATGACATCCTATAACTTGGTGGTGTTCCAAATTTTCCAATCAAAGAGATTATGGGGCCACAGAGGAAAGTGATCGATGATGTATAGTGTGCCTAAGAAGAGTCACATAGAGAGAAAAAATTTTCTCAGCCTTTCACAGAGAGCAAATTGGTCAAGCACTGACCGTGACTCATCCAGATGGCTGACACTGACAAAAGATCTACAAGGTGATATATATGGGTCCAGTGTAAATCCTGAGGGAATTTGACTGACCTTATCAGATACAAAAGTTACATTTTTATTTATATAGGTCTTGCTTTGACTTGGTCTCAGCCATCCAGCAGAAAAATATAACCACGAGGTATAAAAGTAATACCATATTAATTTGTTGAGCTGTAAAAGGCTCAAGTCAACAATTTCTAACAATTACCAGTTCTGCTGGTAACCCACTACTATTATGGACTATTGGACTATATTGGGTTATTTTGCTGAATTTAAGTACCTACAATCTTTAGACTGGTTTCAAGTATGAAAAGGTCCTTTAAAGACTTTTCTAACTGCAGTGGAACATTCATCTCTGAAAAAACAAAATGAAAAAAGGGATATGTTAAAAGCCAAGAAGCTAGGAAATTGATTAAGTATATGAAAATGGAACTTGGCCCAGAGCCTAAAGCAAACAAGTTACCTCACTCCTGTGATAAACATCCTGTCTGGTTAAAGTTTGCTATCAGTTGCTAGGCAACCTAGTGTCATGTGTTATGAACTTCACAAAAGTGTAAGTTTTTCATAGCAAAGGACAGCTTTGTTGTGGAAAAAAAAAGCGGGGAAGGAAATATATATAATATATAATACATAACATATAA